CAGCAGGAGGCCTCTGTCCCTATAGGCTCTTGTTAGCCCAGTGGGTATGTGACTATCAGTAGGAAGAGACAGACTCCAAAGCATTACTGGCATGAATTAAGTGGTTAATGGACAGGCACTACTGCACAATACTGTCAGATTCCACAGCCAACAACTGAGTACACGCTTATCAGAAAGGTTATACTTTATTGCAGAGCTATAGATGCAGTAACAAAGTCACTGTTAAGAATGGCGTCGTCCCCACAAGCATAATGGGATATAGGATATTAGTATGCACCCCCCCTCCTTAGGCCAATTAGCCACATTCCCGCGTGCGGGAGAAGGAGCCCCGGCCGTTAGAGCCGAAGCTGAGAACCGAAAGCACTCTCCCACGGTTCTCTGAATCCCAGACACTACACACCACCTGCAAGGCCATAGATAAGCAAGCGTTACAGAAGCAAAGAAGGAATGCAGCGGTACTTGGTACACAGGGCAAGCAAGCATCCTACCCCCAACCCTTATGGCAGCATAGCTGACAAATACACTACAAAAGTAAAACTGAATTAGGTACATGATATGTGAATACATATGGCAAACACATGGGTATGAAACCATTAGAAAGATTTGTATGGATGCAGCAGATGATAATGGGCTACTCATAAACTGGGCCCTTTCAGGGCCAGAATTGTACCAGATTAACAAGGTGCAGCTTTCCTGTGCCAAACACTGCAATTCTAGTTTAGCAGTTGGATTTGGATTTTGTTGAAAGGCCCTAAAGTACTCTGAGAGTCCATTTCGCTTGGGTGCACTCATGATCAAACCATTTTTTATTGCCGGAGATCCTATCAAGAGTAGAGGCTGGAGATTCGGAATTAATAGGTGGTAATAATCAATTAGAGAGATCCCCCCATCATTATTAGCTGTTAGGACTTGCAGGAAGAACTGGCCATTAGCTGATTGTGTCCAGAGAGAGAAATTTTCGTTGATATGAGAGGACCATTTAAGTCTAATCCTCCCTGTCTGTTCCGAAAGCTTAGGCTCCGTCACTTCAGGACAGAGTCGACCCGTCAGAAGTCCTAGTGGACCAAAACTTTTAAGGGCTAAGGATAAATGGTCACTTTCTGTTTTTATGTCAATCAGAAAATCAATATAATCATTATAGAGATCTTGTGAGATAAGAATGTAATCAGTGGTCGAGTGCTTTTTTAAGCCTGACCAATAGGTAAATTGGCCGGGGTAGTCACCCAATAATAAACCATTCAGAATGACAAAATTTAGTCTAAATGCCAATTGAAAAGGGCACGTGCCAGCAGAATTGACAACTGGGTCTAAAGATGCCTGAAGAGTGGCCAGAATTCATCTTCAGAGATAAGGCCACCTGTACCGCTCTCATCAATCAGCTGTTCATCAGTATGACCTAACCTTGCATTAAAATCACCGCCAATAATTATGGCAGACAAACATATCTTTCCAACTCTTCCCAAGCATTTTTGATATCAGACTGTCTTGTAAAAGGCTGGATGTACACATTAATACAAATTATCTTAAAATTAGAAAATGATAAACTAGCAGCCAGAATCCAATTCTTGTTACTTTCCGATTTCTTTGGGGAGCTATTTAATGATGAAGACACCAGAATACTCAATCCTCCTGAGGGTCTTCCCCCTTTGCGGTCGTTAAAACGTTGTTCAGTAGTACTTTGGTCTTTAATAGGGATGGGCACAAACTGCATTTTTGTGGCTTTCTTTGTGGTTTGTGGCTGAACTACGAACCGAGCCACCAACCCATACAAACCAGGAGGTTGGGTCGCAAACTGACCTGGCTTGTATTGATTCGTGAACCATTTGAAGTTTAAACCCCTGCTTTCTGCTCCCCGTGGCTCTGAGCCATTTAAACCAAACAGAAAGCTTTCTGCTTTTCACGAACCACTATGAATGGCACCAAAATTCATCGAAGTTCATGGCAGTTCTTCAGTTCACTAACATCGCAAACCACGAACCGGTGAAAATTCATGATGAACTTTAGTTCGTCAGCCAATTTATGCCCATTCCTAGTTTTTAATCTTCCAAATCATTCATAATTGAAATAAAATCAACCCTCAGCCTTGACTGCCAACACTTGGAAATAACTTTGTCTGGATCCATAAGTCAGAATGCTGGCTTCCTTTGCTTCTGAGAGATGATTGACTTGACATTTCCAGCACTGAGATCTATCAGTGTTCAAAAATCTCACTGAACCTTGCCAGAGTCAAATACCAACAACTGTTGATACTGAGCTTCCTTTAAAGACAGGCATAAGCTACATATTTCACACCAAGTCGTATTCAGAATAGCAGTTCCCAAATCACTGGTGCAGAAGTGCTTGAGAGCCTCTTTTTACATTTAGGTTGAGGATTAATTTATATATTCAGAATTTGCCATGGTTTCTTCTCTGTACACTTCTCAGTTTGGTGTAGTGGTTAAGAGCGCGGACTCAAATCTGGGAGAACTGGGTTTGATTCCCCACTCCATGACATGCAGCTACTGGTGTGACCTTGGGTCAATCACAAATTGAGAGTTGTTCTCTCAAGAGCAGTTCTAAAAAGAGCTCACTCAACCCCACCTAACTCACAGGGTGTCTGTTGAGGGGAGGGGAAGGGAAAGGGATTGTAAGCCGCTATGAAACTCCTTCAGGTTGTGAAGCATGGGGTATAATCCCAATCTCGTCTTCTTTCCTTCTTTTTCTCTGTTAGTTCTTCAGAAGGCAAACTCCCATTCGTTAGTTCTTATAAAACAACATTATTTGCTTGAAAATATTGAAACAGTGTGAGTGACCAGCCTTGTGATTTCACCCCGGTGATCTCTTCCCATATTATAAATCTTATCATTAATCACCA